TGACTTGGACTGCATTTTCAAAGTCATGTGATTCTCATGGCTCATACTGAATTTGATGGCACAAAACCTAAGATTTTTCAAGTGAACTATTAACTGTCAGATGAAGTATTCCTCATCCTCCATTGATTAATTAATTTTGCCCCCAACCTAGATAGAGAATTTTATTTTATTCCTGTTACATTTGATCCTGTTTGTTTCAAACCATCTTTATAGGCTGCCATTCTTTAAAAATATTGCATAGATACTGTGACTTTTTTTAAATTCCCTTTTGCAGGGCAGTGTCTGGGGGAGTCTCCAGTCTCCTTCTAGGAGTACTGGATCCAGACTGGATCTTTCAGGTAGGAGAGATACTCAGAGTGGCCAGAGGTAACTCACATCTATAGAACAAGAGAGGATCAACATAGAGGGTTCCATGCTAAAAAATACCTAACTTGTTCCCATCAACTTTGATAAACTCCACTTAGTCTGCCTTTCAAGTTTCTTCACAGTATGTTTTGTTTTCCTTTTTTTTTCTTTTGGTTTTTATTTTAACATCTTACCCATTACAATCTTGTGAAAATGAATGTTAGATTGTATTTTTTTTGCTTGAACTTTATAATCCAATTCTTTTATAATTTGCTAACATTTCACATTGAACAGAGTCAGAAAATATCTAAAAACCTTTTGGAAAAGAGCATTTGAGAAATAACAGTTCTTCTACAGTACTGGAAACCCTATTTTGCTTAAACAGCCCTTATAGTTAGGAAGTATAGGACTGAGAAACTATCAGATAGAGGGGACTTAAGAAACAGAATACTTAAGTGGAGTGTGATATTTTAGATTGGATCCTGTGACATTAAATGGATAAGGAAAAGCTGGTAAATTCTGAATAAAACCTGGAGTTTAGTTAACAACAATGTAGTAGTTTTAGTTTCTTACTTTTACAAGTGTACAGTGAAATGTTAAGGTGATGATATTAGGGGAAACAAAGTAGGGGAGGGAAATATGAGAACTCTTTTTACTATCTTTGAAACTTTTCTCTAAAATAATATTAAACCCAAAATTAAGTTATTTAAAAAATAAAATAAATTATTATTTTTTATACCAAATTATTTCATAATTCTGATTTCAGTGACTTCATAATAATAGTAAGCCGACCCTGTTTGCTTATGGTGATACGTACGGCAAATATTTGGCTTTTATGTGCTATGCTGAAAACCTCTTTTTCAAATTTTCCTGGATTTTTAATTCTCATGAAATTCATGCCTTGATGCTGTTTTATTTTGCTAATTCATAAGAGAGAGCTAAAGTATTTTTTGACAAATATTTTTTGCTTCACATTTAACAACTCTAACAAAACCGTGTCAGCTCTTTCACATAGCATCATGTCGTGCAGGCAAGCATGAGCGGACAGCTCCATGCACTGCAGAGAAGAGAAGGCTTATAGCATAGGTGTTGCCATTTTCCTCAGGGGATAATTACCCTCCCTGATTTTCATATTCCATAGTCTCATTTCATGACGACCCAGTGGTCCCAGCCTTCCCAGAATTAGTGCCAACTCACCATATGCCTTTAGACAAAGAATATGGGAGCGTGAGAAAAGAGCTAGGCCCATCCTTCTCCATCAGATTCTAATTAGTCACATATAGACCTTTAGATCCTTTGTAGGATCTAAAGTTTCTCTAGGATTTTTCATATTTTTAGGCCCCTGTATCATTCCCTTCATCTACCTTTGGTTACTCAAAGGGATACAAGTATATTTCCTGGGCCTTCATTCTAACAAAACTTTCAGCCCTTGATTCTTAATTTCAGGGCTACTGACACACAATTAATAGCAGAGACTGTGGGCTAACTTGGCTGTGAATAACCTGACAGACAGCAGGTGTCATTTCACACTGCTCTTAGCACACAGTGCGTGCTTCACAAACGTTCATCAAATGACTGAGTGCTTCCTAGAGACCAAGGTGGTGGCTGTGACCTCTCCTCACTGCAGAGACCTCATTATTCCACCATCTCGTTTCTCACTATATTCTTTCCTGTGCTGGTTTCTGTACAATGAAAGCCCTCTCCCCTCATTTCTTCTGATCAAATCATGGCTGTGGCTCACATTCCAACACAGGCAATATTTACATTTGTATAGTTATCACAAAGCTGTTTTAGAATTGCTTTCACATACATGTTATTTTTGAAACTAACATTAATGATATGATGTTAACAAATAAATTATTGTTATCCCATTTTATGAGTGAATAAACTAAGGAATAAAGACAATTTTAAAAGGTAAAAGTTCTTAAAACCAGTAGAATCCTAGATTAGGAATCAGATCTTCTCTGACTGCTGAGCCAAAGTTATTTCCCATCACACTACTTCCACACTATCTTTCTGTATGAGTCTGGAAAGACACCTCTTGATGAACCTTTTCTTAAATCCCTAAATTAGAAAGCATTAATCCCTGGGGCACCTGGGTGGTTCAGCTGGTTGAGTGTCAAACTTTGACTCAGATCATGATCTTG